AAATTTTTTTTGTTTTTTTTTTTTTTTTTTTTTTTTTTTTTTTTTTGCTACAGAGAGATTTTCTGGGAGATTTTTATGTAGGTTTTATTCATCTGAAAGGTTAATAATTATGCACTTTTCCTGTTTGTGAGAGCTGTTATGATCTTTGTGAAGTGTCTATAAGAAGCACATACTAGTCAATACTAATTTCCCACCATGAGCTAGCAATAGTTGAAGGACACAGGGAAAAGTAATCATAGCACCTAGTAAGTGTTGCAGTGGTTTTACAAGTATGGGCAGGGAATGAAGGGGCTAATTATGTTGAGGACGGGGAAGTTTCAGGAAGTGTGTATCATAAGTTGTGGCTGGCTGAGTCATGCAGGTGCCTGGGCAGCATGGCTAATAAGCAGCAAGGAGCTGGAATTTGGGTGTGTGAATTTGTGTTCATTCCAGCAGGGCAGCCAGAGGCCAGAACCTGTACTTTGACACAAAAAATCCATGGGTTTTACTCTGTATTGAGGGCTTCTCGATGGATTTTAACCGGAAGAGTAGTGTGATCAGGTTTATCTTTCAGAAAAAGCACTAAGGAAATGATATACAGACTTAGAACGCGAAAAGCAAAATTGGAAGCTATTGCAATTGTTCAGGTAAGAAATGATAAAGAGCTTCTCTAAGACATTGGAAGTAGGGCTGGAAATTAGTAAATTTGGGAAATATTTAGGTGACAATTAGGCTTTATAAGGTATTTAATAGATATGGTGAAGAAGAGGTAAAAAGCCAGAATGTTTCCCAAGTTTGTGAATTGTGACTGCATGAGTGTTGTACAAATGATAGAAATTAGGGTTTAAAACACACTTGGGGAGCAAGATATTGACTCTGATTTTCTATTTGCTAGATTTAATATATCTGTGGAGCAACCAAATCTAGATATCAGGTAGGGATCAGCATAATATGTCAGGGCCTAGAGTTAAAATCTTGTTAAGTGGGAGGTTGTGATGAATAAGCGGGAAATCAGGACAGTTAGGTCATCCTAGGCAGTGTAGAGGGGAGAGCAAATCACTCTCAATGAAGCCTCGAGAGAAGGTCAGCCTCTAAGGAGTATATGGAGTAAGAGAGGTCCACAAAGGAGACAGGAGGGTTGGAACAGGATGGATGGAGTTCCTGGAATAAAAACAACACACAGTAAGAAATTCTGGGCAGAGTATGATGATGAAGGCTAAACAGCATTCCTTGTGTTTGGCAACTCCAATTATATATTAGAAATAGACTTAACTTTATAAGCAATTCCTTTCTTTTCTTAAGTATTCTTAAAATTTCATTGTACTTTATTTTAAAAATTTCTATCTTGGCTAATATTGGGTTTCTTATTATTTTTACTCAATTGCCAACTTCTTGAGAGTAGGGACCTTGATTTATTCATCTTCAAATTATGAATTATTGGCACAAAGAATCATTACAATATTATTTATTGGATAATTGATAGTTATTTAAACATCAAAATTATAAAGTTTCTAAATCTTGCTAGAAACATTTAAAAACTTAATTTTCTAGTTTTCTTCCTTTTGAAATTGAACATACTGAAAATAATATAATCTTTCCTTTATAAACATCAATTACATCTATGTATAGGACTATTTATTCTACACTAAAATGACTGCACTTTAGTTGGTGATTCAGCACTATCTCTCTTTTCCTGGGATGAAAACAGAGGAGTGACAAAATTAATATTTGTCAGGATTTTAAAATTCTGAGGTAATCATGCTTATTTGCCGTTTTTTTTGTATGAGGCCTGCATCATTTCTCAATATGTCAGTATGGTGCTCCCACATTAGGTTGAATGGGGAGAAGGGAGGGAGATGGGACCAAAATTGGTTGCAGGGGACTGCAATATTGATCATGCCCCCAAAGCAAGGCTGTAAGCAGTGCAAGCTGTAAAGAGTTAACCCCACAATTGGCTTGTTTATAGAAGTGAGTCTGGCCGAAGCCTACATGCTAAGGTCAGAGTAATTTGCCCCTTTTTGTGTTTCTGCAATTAAAACTTTCTAACTAGAAGGACAATATTCTAATTACAACATATATTTTGTCTATTCTGTTTCTAATTCAAGAATGCTTTGTCTTACCTGTCACGATCCTTGCTTACATTAATTTCCATAGAAACTACATGATTGTGTATCCTTGACTGTAGTTCTGCCCTTCCTTGTAGCTCCTCTTTACTCCAAATGATTACCAATAAAAATCAATGGCTTGGACTGACCAGCACCCTTGTCAGTTGTACTGGCATTGGTAATACTGGCATCCTGCTTTCTGTCTCTCTTTTCCCTCCTCAGGCCTGTGTTGTACACTGAGTGGGAGACTGGAGCCTACTGTAGAGATTTCCAGTAACATTTCAGGGATCCTCAGTAATTGGTGTCACAGTTAGCTTTTCTGTGTCAAGTTGCGAATGCACAAACAAACTTAAAAATTCTGCTCTCAGTATGTTTCTAAGCTTAAATTGGTTACATTTATAACTAAGAGTTAAATCTGTGACTTTAAAACAAGACTCTAGATGATTACTACCTTCATTGAGAGTCTATAATATTTTGCTGCCTTTATAAGGCATACTTTTTCAGAATTTTTAATATAGAGATAGAATTCATTTTTTCCCCCAAATAAATTTGAAAAATGAAAAACAGATTTTTTCCTGTACTTTGAAAGAATAAGTATATGCATAATGCTAGAAGTAAGCTGACCATTGATCTTATGCTTATTTAGGGTATATAATGAATTTGATCTAATTTGTAAGTCAAACAATGGTTAAAAATAATCACACATTTATTGATACTTTGGCAAATAGATTCCATGAAAGTTATGATAGTAGCATTTAAAAACTCTATATTAAGGCTGTATCTAATGCAATGTATCTAATAAATTGTTAAAAATATAGAACATCTGAAACTTGATCATTTCATGAGTATAATGATTCTGAATGTGAAGAAATAAAGCATACTATGTTGTCTGCTTCTTTCAGACTATTATGGCCAAAATCAAAGTGTTATGATTACTTATATCAAGAGGCAGAAACTCTTCTGAAAAATTTTCCAATTCAAGCCACAATTTCATTTTATGAAGATTCTGATAGTGAAGATGAAATTGAAGAGCTGACCTGTGAAAACTAAGCTAATTTTGATGATATTTAAAGCTTGTGGGATTTAAATTTAGTGTACAAATGTATCATAATTTAAAAAACTAATTTATTCGTATTTTATAATTTTTTAATAAAAGGAAATATTTTGTAATTACTATGGTAGTGTGGCCTTTAAAAAAATCTCTACACTAAAATTCAATGTTGGAATTTAAAATAGGTGACATTTACAAGTGTCTTGTGTTATATAATTACATAGTTGGGGCTTACAAAGAATTAAATTACAAATTTATCTTTATATTTTGCAAAGAATCACAATATCTAATTTTTTCATGACTTGGCCTTGTAATATCTGCTCTTTCCTATTGACCTTAAATGGATGTTGTAATTGTAGATAAAATTATCTTCTTAGATAACAAAGAAATCATCTTATATTACCAATCACACATCTATCGTTATGTGTTTACTAGAAGATGGTGAAAATAATTTAAATTATTATCTATAATTGAGAATAGAAATCAGTTTTAGAGCTCTTAAATTTTAGAGATTACAAATAAATAATGAGTAAAGTAATTCTCATTTCCTACTTTTCTGCTGTTTTAAAATCTAGTAGTAAAACAGCATGGGTGTTCAATATTTACTATATTACATTAGGGGATCTCTATAATTAAAACAAAATATTTCAAGGGGAGTTATTTACATGGAATCTAAAAATTGGAGCCCGATGATGAGTATTCAAAAGTGTTTTTCTATTTTTGTCCAAGGAGGAACTAAGATATTTGGTAGATATGAAACATTCTCCAATATTATCAACTTTCCTTTGCTCTGATTCCCTGCTCTTGATATTCTCATTTGAAATTTTTCCTATGGGAAGTTAAAATAAATTCTTGGTGATTAGTTTTTCTTATAGACTTGCAGAAAAATATTTCATTAAATGAGAATGAGCAATTTACAAGGTTAAGGTAATATGGTAAACTCTGGTTATGGAGTTCCTTTGGTTCATATACATACAGTCTTCTCACAATAAACAATTCAATGCAAGTTAAAATATTCTTATAATATCCCATAATAATAATGGATGGGGACGAAGACCAGAGGTAGCCAGCTACTAGCTAAAATATGCTTCTTGTTTGAATGACCACAAATAGCACATGCTTCCCTTAGAATATAAAAATACCGCAAATATAACTTTGATTTCTGAGCACTTTGAGGATTTGATAATTGTAATAAATTACAATGTATGTTTCAGTGAAGATGGAAAGTTATTTGAGGAGGAAGAATTTACGAGTTACTGAGTTAGAGCACAAGGAGGTTGGGTGCTTAACAGTAAAATCTTTTATCCTCTTGTAGTGGCTGTTTGCATTTGACTCCTTAGCTTTTAAAGTAGTGAGATTCTCTTTCTGGTACAGCCCTGTACCCTACATGACATAATTTTAGAGAAATCAGACTTATCAATGGACAAACACTGTTGTTCTGGGTTAATAGGGCTGTATAAGAATTCATTCTCGATTCTATCAGCACCAGGACTAAGGAACAGCTTCACTCTAGTCTTTCCTCGAAATAGCTGTCACTTTCTTCCAGTGCTGAAGTTTAGGGTGCGGAACTCACTGAGCATGCGTACTTCTCACTTCCATCCTAGCCGGCGTTCAGTGCGTCCTGTTAGCTCCGCCCTCCACGGACGTGCTACGGCATGACGTGCTCACCCCTAGCGACCCCGGAAGTGGGTCGGGGGCTTGGCCTCTCCCCGGCTTCTGAGCCGGAGCGGGAGGTGCTAACCGGAGGGGTCCTGCCGATCGTGCCGGTCGGTCATCGGGCCCCCGGGCGAGGCCCGGATCAGAGGTCCAGGATGCTAAACGTCCCTTCTCAGTCTTTCCCGGCCCCCAGTTCTCAGCAGCGCGTCGTCTCCGGGGGGCGTAGCAAGGTAAATGGGTGGCACCGTTAGTCTCGCTTGGCGCTCTCTTCACTCCGGGGATTCGCGCTTCCGCAGAGTATTCTTTCCTTTTGTCCTTCCTCCCACCTCCTTTCCCCCTCTCAAGTCTTCGTTGTCTCCTGCCCTTGCTGACGACCGCTTGCTTTCTGATCCCACTCCGTCTCCCGTTCTGGAATTCTCCCTCCAACCTCTCACTGCTCTCCCCACTTTCCCTCTGTCAGTTCCCTTTCTCCTCAGTCTTTTCTCGCTAATTCAGATCTGTAGAACAGGACCGATGCTTGTATTATTGTAGGTACTCAATATCAGCTTCCTGTCTTCAGCCTGTCCTTGTCACCGGTCTTTTGTTCTTCCTGTCCGAAGGGGTTGTGAATGATGTGGGTTCCTGGCAGAAAGGGAGGCCAAGAAGTGGCGACATGAGACATCCTCGCAAGGTTGAGGACTTAGGGAGCTAGGGAAGCTTGGAGAAGCGAAGACAAAGGTCCACAACTCTCCAATCTCAGGTTTACAGACAGTTCTTTTCCAGTCATACTGCCTAACTCTGATACCTGATTGTTTCAACGTTGCCTTTTCTACTGATAGCAATTGCTGACTTTGAAACTAATATAATGCCTTTGAGTATTTGTTGGGAATAGTTACTGTTAGCACAAGTGGAACACAAATATATTTTATATTTGCAAATTTTGATAAAAACTGTAGTTCGTGTTCATTTCAACGTTGATGCTGCTTGTTCGTGTTATTGGGTGCTTCCTTTATCAGTAACCACATCTTGTTTTGTTTCTGAGACTTCCACCTACTTAGGCTACCCCTTTTTCTTTTCATTTCTCCACACTTTTTAGTCTTAGGATCATTTGGGCCCTTCACTAACTTATTTTCCTCTACTTAGACCTGGGTTTCTGATCCTAGAGCAGAATTTAGGTTGGAGGAACTGTAATTTTCACTTGCTTTTCAGACGTGTGTATCTCCAACTATAATAATACTGAGACTTATTAAATGCTTACTATGACCATGTATTGTTTTGGTTCTTTTCCTCTATTACCGTGCTTAATCTTCACAATGATCTTATGAAATGGAAGCCTTTATTATCCATTTCACAGAAAAGGGAACTGGTTTTTAGAAATATTGCCTTAGCACATACAGGTTTGTGATGCAATTCTGTCTGTGACGTTTCACTTATTCTGTATATCTTTAAACAACCATTTAATTCTCTCTTTTCCTTTCTGGTGTTTGACCTGTTTTTTCACCTTAAACTCAATACTTGACTGAATAGTATAGCCTTTCCAGAATTAAAATATGAATTGCTGCACTTCTCCATTAAAATTACTGGCCATGTTCTCAACATCTATTTAAGGGAGAAAATGTGGAGGCAAAGACAAAAAGTTGCACAGGTGATGGTGAAAATGAGTCTTTGGGTCCAAAGAGAGAAAAATTTATACTAGGTTGTCTTAACTGTTTAAAATGTGAACAGCACTTCTGTCTTAGTTCATTTTGTGCTGCTGTAATATAATACCAGATGCTGCATAACATAAAGAACAGAGTTTTTTTATTATGATTCTGGAGACTGGAAAGTCTAAAGTCAAGGGCACCATCTTTGGCAAGGGCCTTCTTGCTGTGCCATAACATGACAGAAAGTATCACATGCTGATAGCCTGAGATGGAATTTGTAGACTCAGTTTCAAGCCTTTTTATAACACACAAGCCATAGCAACTTCTTAATCTAAAAACTTTGAAAATGTACTTTGTAAAACACAACAAAGACTGCAAACATCCTGTTACTAAATCCTCTTAGGAGGAGTTGGCGAAGTTTTCTACAAAGGGCCTAACAGTAAATAAAGTAGTACCCTTCACTCATTTTTCTCAGTGTGTTTCATGATTTCACTTACCCACAGTTAATTGCAATCTGAAAGTATTAGAAAATTTCAGAAATACAGAGTTTGTAAGTTTTAAATTATGTACCATTGTAAGAAGTATGACAAAATCTTGTGCTGTCTTGCTCTGTCTTGCTTGGCATGTGAATCATCCCTTTGTCTACTTCTACATTATACGCTCTACCCACATGTCAGTTGCATGGTAGCAGCTGTCTCGGTTATCAGATTGATTCTGGCAGTAATCACAGTGTTACAATTATTTTTACTCAGTAGTGATCCCAAAGTACAAGAGTAGTGATATGGGGAATTTTGTTATGGCATAAAGTCCTTACTTTAAGTGAAAATGTGAAGGTTCTTAACTTAAAAAGAAAGGAAAAAAAGCATGTTCTGAGATTGCTAAGATCTATAGTAATTGTGATCTATCCATGAAGTTATGAAGAAGGAAAAAGAAATGTGTATATATAGAACAAAATATAATATATGTTGCATTTGGTACTAACTAGCTTTTGTTTTGGGCGGGGTATATCTTGTAATGCATGCTCTGTGGCTAAGGGAAGCTTACTGTATTTTAGGCTTTGAGGGCCTCCTTTCTTCATCACCACTCTATGTAAACACTATTCTTAGCTCAAGGCTGTGTAAAAATATTAGCAGAGTTGGCTCCTTGTAGTTTTCCAACTCCTTTTCTACAGTGCTATTATTTTCCCTTATTTGAGAAACTTTTGTTTCTCATTGGTGTCTTAGTTACTTGCTGTTCCTGGGACATAATACCTCCTTAAAGGAGGAAAGGTTTATTCTGTCTCACATTTTGTAGAGGTTTCAGTCCACAGTTGGCTGGCTCCAAGTCAAGACAACATAGCTGAAGGTATGGCAGAGGAGAAGTGGCTCATGACATGGGGGTGGTGGAGAGGCAGGAAAGAGACCAAGCAAGGAGGGAGGGAGATACTCCCTTCCAGGCCACACCCCCAGCCCACCTCCTCTGACCACACTTCACTTCTCCACACTGCATTTAGTTACAAACTCAGCAGTGGACTAATCCATGCCCTCATGATTCAGTCACCTCTCCAAAACCCTACCTATGAGCACATGAGACTTTGAGGGAACATCTAGACATGACCAGAACATTCCAACCTGGCCTCCAGAAGACTCATTTGCATCCCTTTGTGCAAAAATGCATTTAGACCATCTCTAAGAGTTTCCATAGTCCTAACAGTTTCTTCATTGCTGAGAAGTCTCAAGTCCAAAGTCTCTGAGATTTCAGGCAAACTCTTATTTGGAAGCCCTACTACAAATGAAAAAGAAGTTAAACACTTCCAACATGCAAAGGCACAGGATAAACATTTCCATTCCAAAAGGCAGAAATAGGGGGGTAGAAAAGAGTGGGACCAAAGCCAGACCAAAATCCAGCAGAGCAAATATTAAATCCTGTAGTTCCAAGTTTAGCACCCTGGGCAAATCGAGGTGAGATGTGGACTCCAAAGGGCTTGGATGAGTGACTCCTCCCATATTGGGCTGCCTGTGGTCATAGCTCTCTTGGCTTCTTTCTTGTGCTGGCTTTGTTCACCCCTGTGGCTTTTCTCAGATGTTCCATGTTCCTGGCATTTCACACATCTTGGAATCTCCACTGCACCTTTGACTTTACCCTCACAGCTTCACACACTGCCCTCTTGGGCACACTACCTGGCCTCTCAGGCCTTCTTCTGAAATCTGGTGTAAGCTTCTACGATTCTGCCATTCTTACATTCTTCATGGGCATACACCTAGCACCAAGTGGATGGTACCAAGATCTTCCACAAGCAGGAGCAGTAGCTGAGACCTTTTACATTGTGCAAGATGTAGAGGCATCTGAATTCCTGGCTAGCTGAGCACAGTAAACTGAATCTGTGGAAATCAATTCCCTAGGCACCCCTTCTTCAACAGAGTACCCTGGGGTTTTCTCTCAAAGCAAAGTCTTTTACTTTTACAAGTTCAAGCCTTGGAAAGGAGGGGCCTTGTTGGTTCTTCACATGCTTTCCTCAGCTGGGACACAGTACCTGACAATACCTGTTATATTTCATGACTGGTGGCACAAAGGATGAGGGATTACTCAGAGTCCGTGTCTAGTTTCTATTCCAAGAGGATCTAGAGGGACTGCATTAACTGAGACTCCTCAGCCTGAGAGAGTCTCAGGAAAAAAACAAAAACAAAAACAAAAAACAGCCCCAAACTGGAGCTTCTGTGGCTTTTTATTGGTAAAACCAGAAAGGACAAAAGAATAAAGGACACCTGTTCAGGAATTCATGTAGGGGATGAGAAGGGCAGGGTGGTCTATTGCATGACTGATCTTAGAGCTAATATAAGTAATTAATTGGAATATGGGGAGGACAAGGGCCAGAGCATATATTTCTTAAGTTAGTGTGTTTTGATCCTATATGGACTGTGGCCCTGTAGGCTTTTAATTTTGAAGCATCCATTCTGGGAGGTCTGGGCTTATGGCTCCAAATGTCCCTTTATCTTTGCATATCCACCTCACGTATACCTCTGGCTAGTGCCCCATAGACACTGACAACTTAAAGGAGGAAAGGTTTATTTTGGCTCACAGTTTGTAAAAGTTTCAGCCCATAGCTAACTGACAGAGAAGTGGCTCATGATATCATGTTGGGAGACACAGAGATTGAAATCAAGGGAGGACGGAGGGACCTCTACCCTTCCTGGCCATATCCCTAACCCACCTCCTCTGACTAGGCTTCACTTCTCTACATCACATTTATCTATAAACTCATTAGTGGACTCATTACTGATGAGTTTGAAGCCTCAACGATCCAGTCACCTTCCAAAAGCTCCACCTATGAGTGTGAAAGGCTTTGGAGGACAGCTAGATATAAACCATAAGAGCTGGATTCTTAGAAAATCCATTGCTGCATTGCTACATAATAATTTCTAGTATTCTATGTATGTTGATAATTCAGAAAAAGTCAACTTATGCCAATTGTTTGTGTGTCTTTTCTTCTGTCAGATCTCTTTTTTTTTGTTTGCTGGGGATTCAGCCAAGAGCCTTTACACTGAGCTACATCCCCAACTCTTGCCTTACCCCTTTTAACAGGGTCTCACAAATCGCTCAGTGGCCCAGGCTGATCTTAAATTTCAGATTCTTGTGTCTCAGCCTCCCACTGTGCTGGGATTACATGCACCGTCACAGCCAGCTAAGTCTGATTTTTAAGGTGAAGAAATTTTGGTCCTAATTGATGACTCTTAATTAGTGACAGAGCCAGGACCAAGACATGTTTTCTGACTTTAGATTAAATACTTTTCTGTTATACTATGGTACCTTTATTAATGAACTTTGTGAAACAGAATTTCTGTGCTTTCCAGGTGGGCTTGGCACTGCTGAGCTACATCACCAGCTCCTAGATTTTTTATACAAGTTCCATTTATAATTCTAATATACAAAAATAATTTTGACACAACTTATGAGTATTTCTAGAATTGATAGATTTGATTTGTTTTTTTTTTAAATGGGAATAAACATAATTAAGTAGCTTGAAGACAAATAGCAGGAAGAAGAGAACACAATAAGAAGTCACATTTAATCTTTCTTTTCTGTTTCTTAGGTACCTTTAAAACAAGGCAGAAGTCTTATGGATTGGATTCGACTGACCAAAAGTGGAAAAGACCTAACAGGATTAAAAGGCAGGCTAATTGAAGTAACTGAAGAAGAACTTAAGAAACACAATAAAAAAGATGACTGTTGGATATGTATAAGAGGTAGGATCTTACCAGTTATTGAGTATTTTAAAATTTTTGCCTTGACTTTTTAATTGTAATACCATATCCTATAGTCATGCTGTTTTGTGATAGGATTCAGAATTAGATTTTTAAAAATGTGCCTATACTGGATAATGTATGAATAACATAGTTCTGACTTTGGACAGTGCTTCTTCCTTATATAACCATTTGCATTTTGATGCAAAAAATTGTAAATTTCATAAATAAAAATTTTCTTAGCAGCTCTGTACTGTATTCCCTTTAAAAAGAAATAGATGTCAGCCTGGCACTTTAATGTCAAAGTCATCTAGTAAATTATTCAGTAGCACCCAGTTTATATGGAACTTTCTACCTCAGGGCCTTTAGTTGAATTCTGTTGGACAAAATGAAAGGAGACCAACCAGAAAACTTACATTAAACCTAAATTTTCAGTTTTCATTTATGGCAAGGTTTACTACTTACTGTATGTTTCTTAGAAATAGTATTTTACCAATTTTTCTAGTTCATACGAAATAAGAAATTCCAAATTATGAATGGGAATGTTGAAAGAAATAAGTGGAGGAGTAGCTAATTGTGCCAATTAATCTTAATTGTCAACTTGACTAGATTAAGGTATTCTTTTAGGGATTATGGGATCATAAGGATGCTATACCTATCAGTGGATTAATCCACACACTACCAGCTGTGTATGCTGGTAGGAGGTGGGGTCCAGTTGGAAGTGGTTTACTGTGATGTGCCTTTGGAAAGAATAACCCTCCCAGTTGCTCTTACCCTGCACTGCATTTCCTGGCTGCCATGAAGTGAACAGCTTTGCTCTGCCTTGTCCTCCTATCATCATGCTTCAGCTTTGCAGCCAGCAGGTTATGGACTGAAACTGTTGAAAGCATGAGCCAAATTAAATCTCTTCTCCTTTAAGTTGTGAATATTAGGTATTTTGTTTCAGTGACCAGAAAGCTGACTAATAAAGAAAATTGCTACCAGAGAAGTGGAGTCATTGTTGTGACTATATGGTTCAGAAGCCTTTGGAACTAGTTTTGGGGAAGAATTTAGAAAAGTTTGGAGATGTGGGCTAGAGAAACCCTGCAATGCAACATGCAAAGACTGCTGGGTGATTCTGATAGAACTCAGAAGACCAGAATGTTCATAAGAATATGGACAGCAAAGAACAAGCTCACAAAGTTTCATATAGGGACTTTATTGGGAATTTGACTGGAGGCTATGCATGCTACATTCTGACAAAGAACTTGTCTGCATTTTGCCCATGTCCTGAAACTTTGATGAAGTCTAGGTGTAAAGGCTATAGATTAATTGCCCTTGTAGAGGAAATTTCAAGGCAGCCCAAATTTCTGCTGTGTTATGGATACTGCTGGCTGCATGTAGCCAGTTTGATGGTGAGAAATAGGAACAAAAACAGAGCATAACAATTTGGAAAATTTATATTTTGGTCCAAAAAGAAGCACATATAAAGTTGAAAACAAAGAAGGTGTGATTACTGAAGAGATTGGTGCCATTAAAATGAAACCAAGTACTTCGAACCTTTCAATAAGGCTAAGAAAATAGTTGCAAGGACCCTACTAATCACAGGTTCAAGTGTGCAAAAGTGTAAACCTTTCATTTGAGAGAGAGCCCCTGGCTCTTAGAAAGGCCACCTTGGAAATTGGCTCTCCCAGATTCATTTCATGGTGCTCAGCCATCCAGGCACTCAGAGGCCTCTCCTGTCATGATCCCAGGAGACCTGGCTTCTGCTGGCTTAATCTAACCTTTACAGTTTGCTTGATTGACAAGTGCTTTAAAAAATTCAGCTAATATTTTGAAAAAAAATTGCTTGTGCAAAAAAAGTTTATTTAAAATATTTAGTGAGAGTTATACAAATTTTTTGTTGCTTCTATGTCAATTATATGTTTTACTCAGAGAATTTGTTTCCTCTCAGTTGTCAAATAATATTGGCATAAAGTTGTTTCCAGTATTCCTTTATTATCTCTTTAATGTCTTTGAGTTCTATAACATACCCTGTATCCTCTTTCATTCCAATATTGCTAACTGTTTGGTTTTTCTTTTTTTCCTTGATCATTCTTGCCAGGAATTTATTTATCAGTTTTATTATTTTTTTCAAAGTACTAATTTTGGTGCTGATTTTTCTTGTTTTCTGCTTCTTATTTTCTCTCAGTTACTGCCATCAATCTTGGACTGATATTTTCTTAGGAAGAGAAATTCTTCAATCATATGTAAATGCATGTCTTGGCATTCACTTGGGAATGGCTGATGGTGGTGGGAGGTGAATTTTAATGTTTTGACATGTAGATTTTTGCTTTTGGGTCAAAACTACTCTAAGTGTTTCTGTTTTCCTGGGTGTAGTGTCTTTCTGGTTTGTTTTCTCCAGGAAATGACCCTGTACTTTTCATGGCTGCTTTGGGAATCTTGTCAGTAGGTTGTATTGACTATGAAGAGGGGCAGGGATTGTACTACTTCTTACACTGAATTTGAGATCTTATACTCTTGACTTTCATGAATACCCAGAGTCTAAGACTCTTGCACCTTTGTGGCCTCTGATGAGCAAATTGGCTTTTTAATAGATTCACCTCAAACTTACAATTGCCTTTTATTTTTACCTTTCTTCATTCTGCTCTATTATGAGTCAACTCTTTGGTTTTCAAAATTATAAATATTTCAAGTAAAAGTTAAGGATACATGCACTATAAATCTCAGAATAATCATTTAAAAAGGCATAGAGAAGACAAAAAGTCAATAGATAAAATGAACCTACAGAAAATTTGATTAACCTAAAACAAGTAAGGAAAAGAGGAACACAATCAGAAAACTTGTGGCTCATCATTGGTCATTCAAGAGATGCATATGAAAACAACACTGAGATTCCACCTCACCCCACAAAGAATGGCTGCTATCAAGAAATCAACCAATAACAAATGTTGGCAGGGTTGTGGGGAGAAGGGAACCCTTCTCCATTGTTGGTGGGAGTGCAGACTGGTGCAACCACTTTGGGAATCAATATGGAGATACCTCAAAGAACTAGGATTAGAGGTTCCATTTGACCCAGCCATCCTTCTGCTGGGTAACTATCCAAAATAATTAAAAGAATCATACCACAATGATATATGTGCACCCATGTTTATAGTGGCCCTGTTTGTAATAGCTGAAACTTGGAAACAGCCCATTTTTCCATTAGTTGGTGACTGGATAAAGAAGGTGTGTTTTTTCTATAAAATGGAATACTACACAGCCATAAAGAATGAGAAATTAGACTCATTCATAGGAAAATGGACACATATTGAGGATATACTTCTAAGTGAAATAAATAAGTCACACATGTATAAATATCAAATGGTTTCTCTGGTGTGAAAAACTATAATGGTACATAAGATCCTAATGGTATAAGTGACAATGTGAAATAGTAAGAAAAGAGCTAAAGGTGTAGAGGAAGTGGAAAGCGTAGGGGAAAGGAAATAAGGGAAAAGGAAAAAAATGAGAAAATGAATAAATGGAAATACATTTTTTGTAAATAGCGAAGGGAGGAGGGAGTGAAGGGAGGGCAGGGACAAGGGGAACAAGTGAGAACCAAGATCTGTCCATGTAAAGGTACAAGATACCAATGATGAATGTAACTGTACTGTATACCTAAAATGTACCAATAAACTTAATGAGAAAAAAAAAACTTGTGGTCTGGGGACCTAGTAAAAAGGTATACATAAATTCAGTCTCAGTAATTAAAGTTATATGTTAGTGGACCAAACATTCTAATTAAAAGATAGATTGACTCTGTATGTGTTATATGTATGTATATTATCAAGTTAATAAAGAAAAAAATCTACATGATGTCCATAAGAAAGATACTTTGAAGACAAGTTGAAAGTAAATGTGTGAGGAAAAGTATACTATACAAACAGTAAGGAACATTATTGATTTTACCTTTTGTTTGGATTATATTAATATCAGATTTTAAAAAAGCTTTGCCAGAGATTCTCACCAGGAATAAAGAAAAAAGACTTGAGAGTATACAAAGCATACATTAAACTGAAGGATAGGATTGAAATCCACAGTTATAGGTGCATATTTCCACACATTTTAGCAATTGTTAGAACAAGATAAAAATCAGTAGATATAATGAAAATAACGTGCAGTTTCTTTGTTGAACACAAGATGGCAAAGTAGTCATAGTACTTATAATTTGTACTTTTGAATACAGTGAAGTATGTCATGATTTTACCGTAGGAACATCTTTTTTCCTCTGTTATTTTGAAGCCAACAAGATGAACAGTGGTTAATTGAAATAAAAATAGTATAGTGTAACAACTTAATACTTGCATGATAGGCATTGAAGAAATTTTGTTGAATGAATATAGCAGAGGGCTTTAGAATTACTTATTTGAATTTCAAAATCCCCTAAAATATGCCAATCTGAGTTTAAAAATCCCACTTTTCTTTGGTCCTCAAACTTTCTGGTCTTAAGATCCCTTTACTCTTTTAAAAATTATTGAGGACCCCAATGTGTTTTTATTTATGATATTTATTGATATTTATCTTTAAATTTTAAAGAAATTTAAGGAATATTTAAAAATTAACTTCAAAATAAAAATAATAAACCCACTATATATTTTCACAAATAGTTCTTTTATCTATGAAAAATAACTGCATTTTCTAAAACAAAAGTGGCATTGTCTTACATTTTGGCAAATATCTTTAATATGTGGCTGGACAGATGACAACTATATTGTCATGTCACCTTCTGCAGTCAGTGTTTTACCATGTGTCGTGTTGTCTCTAGAAAATGCTACACGTTTGAAAGAATATGCAGAAGAGGCGGCTAGGGCCACACAGGCTGCTCCTGTGGCTCTGTGGTCTCTCCCTTGTGGCTGCCATAGTTCTGTGGGTGGCCTGGCCCTGCGTGGCAGTGACATGGAAGAATTCGATTCCGAAGACTTCACCTTGGAAAAGGATGAGGACTATGTGCCATTGGGTGGAAAGTATAGTGAAGATGATGTGAA